GTCAGCAGTGTACTTGATAGCCACCGAGTCTACGTCACCACCAAAAATTTTTTTTGACAGTATCAAAAGCAGATGACTCACAGTTTGGCTCGTTCCATAACTGGGTGTGATGGCCCACGGTGTCCTATAGTGGAAAGCTAGTGTAGCGGTTAAAGTTAGTTACAAATGGTACTGCGGTTACTGTGAAATGGAAGATTAGAATCAAAATAAAAGTTTTTGCCTGCACTTGGAGGGGACACAATTTCCATGCAATTTTTCTTGGGGTCGCCTTCTCGACCAGGCTGTACAAGTTGTTTACAAAAGCTGATACTTCCTTGTACAAAAGCTGATACTTCCTTGTGGATGCCGTGACACTTGCCATGTGGTGTGTCAAACAGTGGCTGGGTGTTCTTGTACATTTCAATGAAGTTGAGGGTGGAGTACGAACACATTTCATCATTAAACACTTGGATGGCTCGTTGAAGTTGATGTCGTTCAGGTGAACAAACCGACCTGGTCCGCCAGCCACTTAGGGGTGCGCACAGTGTTGCCTAACGGCGATACAAGGTTTTCATGTAGCCAGTCGTAGATGGATTTTTCCGACGCTCTTTTTGCACGTTTTCGGCACTTTGTACCCTTTCTTGCGCATACTTTGTCAGCGTCTCCAACACTCGTCTGACCTCTACGGGCGTCGTCACGTGCAACTGAATGCAGAAGTTTCAGGTGCAGTATTTCGAAAACTCGGCTGGGCTCGTGTCCAAAACCTTGGAATTGTGTCAAAACTTGATCTCTAATGTTGCGACTCCAATCGCTTTGTCCCACTTTAAGGTATTCCAGTAGCCGGGGCTCACTATTGAGATACTGGACGAAATTGTAGAGGTTCCATGCGCTGGCATTTGTAGACCAAATTGAGAAGCGATTTGCTCGTCTGACGAAGCCAGCGAAGATAACACATCGGCATGTGCCATTGCTCCAGCTGCAGTCCTGTAGGACGTGGACGTGTGATAGAGTGGTTCCCCATGTGTGGAGTGCGACGGCAGCAATTCCCTACCGGGTGGGTCATTGTTTGAATCCTCTGACAATGTCATTACAAATTACACCCTCTAGAGCTGAAGCTGCCCTAGCCCACCACATCGACTAGGCATCCAAGTGTGGCTGTTGAGAAAGCCCATTGGCAAGTGTAGTGCGGTCTTTATCGTTTTGCACATAAACTTGTCCAGGTGATATGCCTGAGCGTGTACTTGCAAAGAGTTTGAGGCACCATAATGACACGCTGACTGTACAAGCTGCTGCCAACAGTGCATCTTTTTAAAGCGTTCGAGCCTCGCGTTTCCAATCGGCTGTAAAAGCTTATTGTCTTTTTCCCATTGCACAGTCGGTACCTTGTTCACAAAAAAGTTCAGCCCCAAATTTTTAATAGGGTTGTCCCTCCCAGCGGTTCTAACCTCAGTGGCAGCCACAGGTATCGGTTCAATGGAATAGTCGAATCCGTTTGAAACATGGTTTGGGCACTTCGATTGGAAAGGATTAACTGCCAAGCCAAGGTTGCAGAGGTGCCTTTCAGTTTGAACTGTAAGAGTAGGAAGACCTTCGTACGTATCAAAGACAAAGGCTAAGTCATCTAACTGGCATATAAGACTCCCCAAGTGTCACCCCCAACCTCGAGCCATTCAATCTCTCTGGCAATGGGTCCAACTGACACAGTTGAGCAGGTATGGCGAGAGCGGGTCTCCCTGTTTAATGCCACGCCTTACAGGCACTCTTTTGCCCAGTATATTAGATAGTGTGGATTGGTCATCTTGGGAACCTGACTGATACTTGTGAACGATGTTGTGTCGGGTAAGACGGTTTAAAAGCTCTCGAAAAGTCGGAGCACCTGGCACGCCCAGGGCGTTCTTGATTGTGTCAACAACGAAACGCCTCGGGTTTGCAGCCCTTTCCTTGGACAAAGGGCGCTACTTGTTCGGATGTGTAGCGAACCTCTCTGGTGTAAACATCCTTCTACAACAGCGTAGGCACTACTTTAGTTGAGAAAGAGTAGTGAACTCTTTTGGAGCAAGCTTCCTGCCACCCGAAAGTGGACACTACTTTTGGTCAGGCAAGTAGTGGACCTCTTCTGTGTACTCTTTTTAATGGGGTGGAGTAGTGTAACCAACTTTGGGAGTGCACTCTATTTTTTTTGCTACCAGAAAAGAGCCTGGCACCCTGTGACCTGGTGGGGAAACCCCAGTGCCAAACCATGTGGACGAGCATAGCTCAAGTCCTCCAGCAGGTCGCCTGCTTCGGTAGGACCCTTTCAGTTAGGAATCGCAGTCGGGAAGACGTCTCATCACCAGCTCAACGCTAGCTTCCAAGGTTTTCGACTCACCAATTGCAGTGCCACCCACTCCATCCCAACGTGGGACGCAGTGGAGAGCGCGGGTGGCTCAATCCACCACTAGCGGACAAGCCGCTTGTGTGAAAAAAAGGTATGCAGCAACAAGGTGTCACTTGAGGCGCTAAGTTTGTTTCATCCAGTTTAAAGCTGTGTCGTGTCCGGAGAGGGGGATCCTCCTTGGCTAATTGACCAGAGGCCCGAGAATTTCAAATGCACAGGTCGTTTTCTTCGGTGTTTCCCTAGCACGGGTCAGCAGGCACTTAGCTACAGGTTATTGCTACCACTGTACACAGGGGTGCCATGTGGAGGTGTGCCTCCTGAGTCAAACTCCACAAACCACAGGTCAAACTCCACAAACCACCTTGCCCTGAGTCATCCAAAGGAGGAACAGCATTTCTTATTAACTTCGTCATGTACGAAACATCTAAAAAGTAGTACACTTTTTTTTGCATCACAGAGTGAGAAAATGATGCAGACATCACTGACAAATCTTAACTGAAGCCCCCTAGGTCTTTCAACATTGTGAAATTGCAAGGAGGTCATCGGGGTAAGATATGCTAATATTTTCAAAGCTGTGGTTTGCCATGCATGGGTGTCTTAGTAAGGGTAGGTTCAGCAGTGAAGTGGCGTGGTAATAAATATTATTTATAAAACTGCAGCCAAAATGGTGTGTCCCTTTGACCACTATATTCTAGCGTGCAGACATTGCACTGAGGGCGTATTTCACATTACTGGAGTCACAGGTTGTGTTTTCAGTGATGTTGAATTTGAAATCTGAAAAGCTTTTTGGTGACCATGTGTGAGCATACTTTCCCTATGGGGATTCTGGCTCAATTTTATTGGGGTTCATTCTGGCTTGGACAGGAATGTCCAAGTTTTTGTCCCTGCGGTACATCACGCGAGATGGTTCTGCGAAGATGCAAGTCAATCATTTGCTTTGCCTTGAAAGATGAAAGGACGGGATGTTAATTCTTGGCATTGATCAGGAGTAAGTTAATACAAGGATTCTTTGCAAATTTCTTAATGGTGTTTCTGGCTGCGCAATATTAGAATTGTGACATTGTGAGTGCATAGTATGGCATTGCCAGTAAACGGAGTCAGACGCGTTTGATTATCGAAACCAGGACGACCACACCTTTCGCTCACTCTTGCACTTCCCTCCACTGGTATCCTCTTCCTCGCCTTGGGACCTCCGCGTCATGCGGAGGTCCCAAAGGCCCGGAAAAAAAAGAGGGATTGTTTCTTGGACTTTGTGGTGCTCCAGCGGCTTGTAGCGCTGACACGTGTAGAATCGCTGATTGTGACGGCATTCTGCATGTGATGTGCGCATTTACTTAAAATGCTTGAAAAAATGACGAAGGTGGTTTACGGGTGGTCGCAGTGGTGGTTTGATTGCTTCGTGGCATACATAAACTCGGGGACAGTCGTGGATTGCACAACCCTAAAGGTGCTTGCTCGCAGAGTTCGAGGCCAGTTCTGTGCCCCATGTAGTGTGATTGATCTGAAGAAAGTGCTCATCATTGAACTCGAAATGGTTATGGTTTTTACTAGTTCTGGAAGTATAGAAAATACCTTGCCACTGAGGCCGGTCGATGAGTCAAGTTTTACATACTGTGAAACCCTAGCCATTATTTCGTCTTTGTGAAGGTATGTTGGTGTACAGTGAGAAGACATCCACAGGAAATCTATTACTTGGAATGTTGTGATTATAAGCCCTGAAATGGTGTGGTTTGTGTCCTTTAAGTAAGAGCAAAAAGTCTGTGGGATGTCTTTTTATTAGAGAACCAGTGAATTGTGACATGTTTTCTGTTAATGCACTCTTAGGAAATATCATCAGGCATCCCGGATTGACTGTTTTGTGTTTTAGGGCGTAAATGAAAAATCGACTTAGTGCTGAATGGGCTGCTAGCACTGGTTTTATCATTTTTTCAGTACTTTTCTTGTGCTGGTGAAAATTATTTGGAGTGACTTTTGTATTACAGTAAACGTCCGATTTCGGGACCCTCAAGGGACTGTGAAAATGTCCGAAATATCGGGCAGTCCGGAAAAACGGATGCACGTGAAAATGCACCTTTTCAAGGTATTTTTCGCTGATGAAGAGCGTAACGACCGAAGTACAAGATTCCTTTTGCAATTCAGCCAATGCATCGTTTAGGTGGCTCTGAAAAGAGCCGTTTATAAAAAAAATTCAACATGACCTGTACTACCTCATTAGTCAGCACCTGGGCGCAAAGAAGTCGCCTATTTTATTTTGCACCGCGTTCCGCTTGCCCGCGATCATGTCTGCCTCAATTTCAGTCAACGTCATGTTGCCTCTGTAGACCGATATCAGCGTTATAAGTGCTTGCGTCAACTTCGAGCTCGTTAGCTGTGTAGGAAAGAGCTCTTCGTTCTTGGCGTCTGAGTTGTCGGCATCCTACATAACTTGACGAATGATTTCGTCATCGGTTAAGTCCGCACATAGCTTGAGGTCTTTGTCAGCATCCGCGTCGACACGCTGGCAGCGCGCAGATCATCGAAGACAACATCCATGAATGCCAGTTCGCCACACATGCTGTCCTCTTGAGGTGAGACGGCCATCTCGGCGTCGAGTGTGAAGCCCGCATGGCGAAAACAGTTCCACAGTCTCTTGCCTAACCGCCTTTCACGATTCTGCTAGCATGTCGACGGCAGACCTGAAGTCAATAGTGTAGCTTATCCTGTTGTGGGAGCAGAGCACCATGTGGCTGAGCATGCGTGATTTGTAATGATGTTTAAAGTTTTGAATCATGCCTTGATCCATTGACTGCAAGATCGCTGTGGTGTTCGGCAGCAGAAATTCAATCTGTATGGCCTTTAGGTCCTTGATGGGGCCATGCGCAGCACAGTTATCCACAAGCAGCAGAACTCTTTCATTTTGCTGCTCGAACCCTCTGTGCAGCTTGCGCATGTACGCTTCGAATAACTGCTGTTTTACCCACACCTTCTTGTTAGCTTCATAGAAAAAAGGCAGAGTCACTGCCCCCTTGAAACATCTTGGATGCTTTGACTTTCCTATTACTAGTAACGGGAGCTTCTCGCTGCCTGACCTGTTGCTGCCAAGGACGATCGTCAGCCGCTCCTTGCTGTGCTTGCCACCGTGGCAGGGGTCACCAGCAAATGCAAGCGTTTTTTGTGGCAGCAGCCTGTAAAACAGTCTAGTTTTGTCACAGTTGAAAATATCATTAGGTGGAAACTGCTGAAGCAAGGACTGCAGCTTTCCATCCCGATATTCGGCGACAACGGAATCGTCGATGGCGCCACTTTCCCCGGACATCTTCTTGAACTTAAAGTCATTGCGGCTCTTCAAATTGCGAAGCCGTCCATCGTTGAACTTGACTACCTTCACACCCATCTGAAGGGGGGAAACCTCTGCCTTCTGCTTCAGGATGTCGCCTGACACCAGGATTTTTTTAGTGATCATGGCACTGAGCCACACGACGAGCGATTCTTCGAGCTTCGGGTAGACACCCTGGCTCGCATTCTTTTTTGCATCCCCGGTTGATTTGGCAGCCACTTTCAAGATCTTCACCTTATTTTTGATGAAGTCCGAAACAGTTTGCTTTGAAATTCCGAACTCCATACCCACCCCTGCCTGTGAATGACCGCGTTGGACCTGTTCAATGATGGTGTCTTTCTTCTCATTCCTGAGCCTACGAGAGGGCTTTGTGCGCTTCGAAGGCGCGGACAAAGACGAAGGAGTAGTCGGTGCCATAACTGTAAACAGCGAATCCACTTGACGAAAAGCACAGCACGAAACAGCTAGGAACTCGGTGGATGCTGAAGGTCTGGAAACGTGATTACTAAAGATAGCGTGCAGCAGCAAACGATCAACCGCAGACACTACCGCAGAGCTGACAAAACAACACGTGAACAGACACAGCGGGGTTTGGCTTGGCTAAGCCGCTAAGCTACGGCTGGCAACGGATTGACACATGCGGTTTCAAGGTTACGGCAGCTGCGACGATGCTGCTGGCCATACCTGCGATGCGAGTATGGAGGGTTCGATAATATGAAAACAATCAAAATGGCAGCATCGGTGGTCACTTTGGGTCAACGGTTACCAGTAAGAAGTATGGGAAATCGGATGCCGAAGGCTATAAGCGTCCAGATTTTCGGACTTTTTAGTACATTGACTCTAAGGGGAACTTGACGGTGCCACAGATGAGCCTGGGAAATGGCATGTCCGGAATTTCGGGCGTCCGGAAAATCAGACGTCGACTGTGCTTTGAAATTCGGGAAATGGGTACTTTGGAACTTTGCAGAACTTTGTGTTCATTACCGTTTCCATTCCTTTGGGTAGTCCAACCTGTTTAGAATTTTAATGCGACCCCCCCATTAGCAAGTTTGATGTTAATGTCCGGGTTATTTTGGAGTTCATCAAATGCTTTTTGTTCAGACTTCGATTGCTACGAGATGGGCAACTTTTCGTAGGCTCTAATTATATATTTTTAGACAACTGATATGTACACATTTTGGCGTTTGTCTCTCTACTCCATGATTTGTCACCACCAATCAATTTCTGCTCTTCTGGACCCTCTTCCTGACCATGAAAGTATTCATGGAGGCAGAAATTATGTGAAAAATTATTGAGGTGCCAGTGGAGTTCAAACTCGTTGAATCTACCAAAGATACTCCAGTGATCATGACATACGTTTAGTGCAGGCTTGTTTTGAGACTGCAGGAGTGTCCCAAGAAATATTCCACACTCTGCGGATACAGTTTACCGTGAGGGCATTATCCAAGCAAGCTTTCTTGTTTATGCAAATGACATCCTGTGGGACAGCCTCATTCGGCAGCATATTGTGCTTCAAGATAATAAACAAAGGCAACTTTTTGCCAGTAGTGCATGAAGGCCCATTTTCTTCACACAAATGCCCGTTTTCTGCTCACAGCAGCTTCACCTCCTTTGCCCCGTGTGTTTAGACTGGTAGACAATTGTATATCAAGCCACAGTAGTGTTTCAACGATCCCGCACTGATCGAGCGTATGGCAATGTTTCTAGCAGAAATAAATTGCATGGAGTTCAAAATTGTCTTCGTATGAACCCGATAGTATGTGGTAGATTCAACTAGGCTGGTAAGGCGTGCAGAATTTGTGTTGCATTAAGCAAAAAAGAATCCTGACACTACGCATTTAAACTTCTTCCTCAGCAGTTCTGCTTTGTCGGTGAGCTTTGTTGCAGGGAAGTTTTGCTGTCATGGGCAAGGACCTGCTACAGTGGTTGTGTACCGCCACTCTATACTCAAGTTCTGAGTGCACTGCTTTGCAAACCCCGAAGGAACTGCCTTCTCATGTTACGTGCCAATAATTTGTGTTGATGATTTCACCAGTACCAGTGCTTCTTTTGTCAGTGTCATACTTTCAGTACACGAACATGTTTGATTTGCCTCAGCGAACTCAGTTACTTTTTACTTATAGAAAAACTAGCTCATGAGTATTGAAATATGTCCCCATAATTCCTATCTTGGATGGGTAATCCCAGGGTCCTGCTTCTAGCTCATGAGCATTCGTAATTTTGACTATCTGAGAATGTTAATTCTGCAGTGGTGCTCTTTTTTGGGTGCTCAATAAAGGCCTCAAAATCCTTCAGTTCGATATAAATATTAAATGTCTTAAGTTGCGACAAGGAGGGATGAAGTGCTCATCGCAACATAGCTAATCGGCAACAGTCCGTCCTGCAAACTGTCTATTTTTGCGGCTGCTGATTGACTGGAGCTCAAGAGCATGTGCTGTGCTGACAAAAGACTCTCATAGTTCTTATTTCAGGATAGCAGCTCTCTTAAACGACAAAGGCAAAGAAGACAGGGAACACACAGAGCATTGCTTTCGCAACTGAAAGTTCATTGAAAGGAAACACGACTTTATAAGTGTAAAAATTTGCATGACAAGTGAGGAACAAAGTGACCAAGTGATACGCTCGTCAAAGTTTGGCTTGGTAATATAAAGGCTTCAGAAAGTATGAATATGCACAAACTCGCCCATCTTTTCATTTTTGCTCTCATAGCTTCTAGTTTATCCAGTTGGCATCATTTTCACATCATGGATGAAGGTTGCCACCTGCCCAGTATAAAAGTGGCCTGGCCAGTTTCTCCGATAGCGGTCAGCTTGCTGGTCCACACCTAAGATCGGCGATTAGTGGCCGGCTTTTCTTTTTCATAATCTCATAATTTATTTTTTAAAGCATTTTATAAGTGTCAGTTGAAAAACATAGACGGTAACAAATTATTGTCAGTCACTGAAGGTCTTGCGCTGTTAACCAGCCCCTTTTTTTAAGATCCCTTTAGGTGAAGTCGTAATTAAAATACGACATATTACTGCATTCATGTGTGTATCACATATTTTTGCAGCATATAAACAGTATGCATTTCCACATTCATTTGTGTCAGTTATGTGACTAACGTAATGAATTTAGACAAAAAAAAAGCTTTTCATGGATGATTGTTTTCTTGTGCAGTATATTTAGGGTGATAATCGAAGCCTTGTTTCGTTTTTGTTCAAGTGGAATTCCAATCGAAGGTATCTTTATGTCCCAAATAGACTAGGTAAGCTCAGTAATGTGTTTATACTTACATGTACACTAAATTTATTTCACTCTAGGAACATTGTGTACCGAAATGGCACTGTATCCGGAAAACTTGATGTGTCGTCTGTTGTTCAACATTGCGTTAATCTTGAACGTCCCCGCCTCTGCTCAAGGGGGTCAATTAGCCGCAAATCACATGACATGAGCCAGCTGCTCTGAGTACAAAAACCGCTTTAAATTCAGGACTCGAAATAATCTTGGCAAGTCTTCCAGACCGGCACAATGTGGCACAAATTCATACAAGAGGACCGAAATCCCGGAATGAACAGTCTCCCAGACTGGGGGTCAATAAAACATAGGGTGCCCAAACGAAACAGCTGGAAAGCAGGTGGGAAACGTAGTGACAGGAAAGCAAACGAACTCACACACAAGCCACAGAAGAATGCGAGCCGACAAGTCGCCTTAGTGGGTGCCTCAAACTCGCGTGGCCTCTGCTCTGCAGCACTCGTGGAGGAAAACCATCACACCTAGCGCAGCTATCATCACATCCCATTGCCCTGCCACCCAGAAAGCCTGCGGGCTTGTCTCACCTCCCTTCTTATCGGCTAGCCAGGCTCCGTCTCCTGTGGCATTTCTGTCGCTGCCGCTCGTCACGCGTATAGGCAATGTGCATGTGTTCTTCTGGCCCTGCTTCCAACGTTTGTGCTGCAGGTAAGCCTGCAAAGGCCTGACAATCTCTAGTAATGTAATGCAGCGTCTGGCGAGTGGTCATCTGGTGAGGGAGCATGCTAGCGTAAGAAACATGCTCACTAAGGTAAAAATGAAAAATCAACAAAGTATTGACGTTTCGAGCCTTGTAAAGTGAGCATGGGCATACAGCTTTTTATGGGTCATGTGGAGGAACATGCTGATGTTTATCTCTGACAGATTGCATATTGTCCTCTTTGCCATGTGGTTACCTCATTGAATGTAAGATTATTTTAAAAGCATATGTTCAGACAAATGTACTTGTGCTGTCGTGATAGCTGCCGTGACTCTGCCAGTGTTACGGCCAGCATGATTGTAGTGTTCCGCCAAGGCATCAGTAGTTGCATGATCCTCGGCGATGTCGTTCTGATGCTGTTTCAAGCGTCATTATAATTTCTGCTCTAGTTGATGCGCGACATGTCGCATTCCCTGCCCCGTATCTTGTAGATAACTCTGTGGCAGTCAATCTTGACAACGTTTTCGAGTAGGCACAGTCGCTTCAGCTATTTCGACACCACATCGTTTGAAACTTCTCACAGGGGCCTCATTTGTTCTTGCTGTTTAAAAATTTCTGTGCACTTTGATCTTTTTGCTGTTTTACAGTGGAGCTCAGCCGTATTGCGCTCCCGAGTCCTGAGCAGTTGGTTATGGTAGCCATTCTATAGAAGGTTGCTTCTCACAATCTGCATTTTTTTAACGCAGAGTGCCTACTACAGTTTAATATTTTTATTACATAAGTAATAACAAAGTCCCTAAATATCTTTTCTGGTCACGAAACTTCGGGCAAAGTTTGGTATAGGGACAGAGCCTCCCGCCAGGGGGCGTTACTGCAGACAAGGGGGCGTTCATCACGGCCGCTTATACGGCTTTTTTTGGCGTGTCAAGAAGCTTTCGTGGCAGAAACTCGCTCTGGTGGCTTCACGGACATATTTCCGTGGGTTTTCATATACTGATCACCCATCGCATATAGGCGGCGTACTCGTACCTGCGCGTAGCGGCCATAAATGTCTGTTCGGTTGCGGCAGTGTTCTATTCATTTCGATCGCGGCGAAATCGGCATGCAGCCATGCCCTGCACGCTCATTTAGCAAAGACTGCTTGGTCATACCTCTTTGACGCTTTTTATTTTCCTCGAGGCTGTAGCCAACTGTCAGCGGAAAAACCGTGATTAACATTGCCAGTATACAGCAGTACGTGCGATGGGCGCGAATCCCGATTCTTCACCGATAAACGTACTGACGAGCGGAACTTACGAAATGATACTTGCTCTTGGCGATTTATCTTTGCTTTAAAAAAAAGACTTAGTTTAAA